TTTTGGCTCAGCAATACAAAAAAGCACAGGCACAAATCAATTTTTTGCTCTTGGTTTAACTAATTATTTCATAGCAGTTTAGGGATGTATCAATGCAACCAGAAATAACCATATTATAGTGATATAGTGGATTATATGATTAGGTTTTATATAAATCTGACTGCATTTATTATAAGATCACTTTTATTCCCCTTTCACTAGGATATGAACTTTCCCCTATATTAAATTGAAAAGCTATTTTAGGCACAAGACCTATGGTATTACAGTAATTACCAGAAGATCAATGCTGTATCCACTTTGGACTAATCCTTAAACATAATTTGCATACTATCATGTCAAACCACTTTCATGCAGTCTGAAAGGATTTTTTTTTTGTAAACCAAAACTGACAGTGTGTGAAGTTGCAGCCAAATGGCAGACAGGGATTTAATCAGTCACACTAATAAAATAAAAAACAATATATTCCCTCTCCATGTAAATGTTGTTCCCGAGGGTATTTCCAGAGGTTCGCTAATCCTGTATGTAAATTGCAGCCAATAGATGCTGTTGTTGAGTTGGGCTTGGATTAGCAGGAGGCGAATGAGTTTCAATTTTACTAGATTACAGAACAAAGAAAGGGGAAAGGGACACCCTGCTCTGTTAAAGGGAAAAACAGACATAAACTTAGATTGAATACATATATAGTAGACTTTAAAACGTGTCATCGAAGTCCACAGTGTGATGTTCCGGATTACGACGTTTTAGAGGACATTGTGGATGAGAATTGCGAGTGTTTCTGATGGATTAAAACGGGGGAATAAACCTATTCCGGGATTGACAGCAGCAACAAGGCTATTTAATCGCTAATTAAGGTGAGATTTCGCTATCCCTTTTAATATTCATGACAAGTTACATTGCTTGCTTTCATTAAACGCGTAGTTTTGTATTACTGTACATTCAGAAATTAGAGATTATAACCTAATTTCTGGACTGGGGAGGAGGAGATGAAAGGAAAGTGCTAACGCTAGCTAGCCACAGAGCTAACGATAGTAAGCTAGCTAGTTAGCTAACCCAACGGTTATTATGATACCTTTAGCTAATTAGCCAGCGTTGATTAGTTTGACATAACGTTACGGTGAGTAGCGAAGGAAGGGTTATAGTTGTTTAGGAGTTAAGTTAACCTCAGAGGTACTCTCCATGTAACCTTGTGCTAGCATGTGTTTATGATTAGGAGACTGCTTGCTAAATTATACCCCATATATTGCTATCACTGATAAGGTTGCCGAGCTACTACAACAAAGCCAGCTAGATAATGTAGCAAGTGTAAAGAAAAACAACACATGTGAAGTTCAGAAAAGCTATTTTAATATAGAAAGCTTTAACCAACAGCCTTGCTGAGTTAATTACAGCCGTATTACACCCTATTAAACTGCAGTAAACAATGGGTTACTCATTACGTTATCATTTATTACCAGTGGTGAGTAGTAACTAAGTACATTGACTGAAGTACTGTACTTTTACTGTACTTGAGTATTTGTTGTTACTTGTACTTCTACCCCACTACAATGCAGAGGTAAAAAAGTGTACTTTTACTCCATTGCATTTCAAAGATCCATAGGTTTTATGGTCATAAGCACAGTAGCTACAGTGTAGTTATTGACATCCTTCAACAATGCAACATGGATATATATATAAGACATACACATAAAAAATGGTGCAAAAAGAAACAGATACGAAATAAAATAGTGCAAGAGAATGCTGCAAGTGAGAAGTAACCTATACACACGTGTTTATTTTATATATATATATTTAGGCTACTGTGCAGATTTGGATTAATGTTGTGACATATAATCTTTAGTTACACCTGGAGGAAAATTCACAAACTACCCAAATGAATTAGCTCCACCTTTAATTATTTGTATAAGATACTTGGATGCATCAATAATTATAAACAAAACATTTACTGCTTATAATTCTGAAATGGGACAATGTGCTTGTAACAGAGTATTCCTGCGCTCTGGTGGTTCTACTTTTCCTTAAGTACAACATCTGAGTACTTTTCCCACCTCTGTTTATTACAGTTTCTACTAAAATTGAATATGTTACTAGTGTTTCCTAAACTTAAAGACACTGGCTCTAAAACAGACATGAATTTAGAGCAATCTCAAAAGTGTTTGGTGTCTAAATCTGAATCGAGACTTTATTTAAACTGTTAATTTCTTGTTGTTCATTCTCTCAGCTGTCTAATAAGAAGTTATACAAATGGTGACTAGCCTTAAACTTTGACAGCTGCATATGTGAGGCGGATTTAATTCGCAAGAGACATTTGTACAGACGCTCATTTCCTGTGGAAGAACAGACCCTGACTTTATTTATTGCACCCAGGTCTCATATCCTGTGGTATCATACTTTATCTCCTAGGTCCAGCTTGTCAAAGTAATGCCTCTCCCCTCTCATGTGATGTGAACTTAATAGTAGATATCGTGCCAGAATTGACCAGCATGAGAAGCTCTCCCCACAAATACTAGCCCTGTATGTGCCTTAAAATATCTTGTATGAATGCAATGTCGTGCCAACTATATTCAAAATATGCAAGTGTAAAGTTACTCTGTTTGCAAAAATACACAAGATGTACAGTATGTCCTTTGACCAGATATATGTTCTCCATATATAATGATGTCCAAAGATCCCAAGTTAAATATTGCCTGTTAAATGACCAGGATCAGAATATAATTATGTGTGATAATCCCACCTAATTGTTGGATGATAAGAAACAATTACTCTTATTATAGCCTTTCAATCATACAATAATAGTGTATAAAAGGATAACTCACTGTTTTTCATGATTTGTCCTATTAATTGATCATGTCCTATACATACGGTATGTTAATGTTGTCGTATGTAATCCTGTCTGGGAGGGTTAGACCCTTTTATTCCCTAATATGTAAATCTGCTTTGACTTCCAGCAGTTAAACATTAAAACATCAGTAATGATTTATGAAAATGGTAAAAAGCCTCAGGCTCACAGTGTAAACAGAGATTATGTTGTAATGATTAATTAGACAGTAGCTGAGAAACCACACCCTGACTTCCTGGCAGTTGTTAGATATGTAAAAACTACAGTCATACTTCTACTTCCTTCAAGACATAATTATGTAAAACATTGATGGCATTGTGTGGCGTGTAAACAAACGCACACGTGTACCAACAGCATGATAAACAACCTACAGCCTACTTCACATTGCTTGTCATGGCTGAATCCAAATGATTCATGTACTAGAGATTAAATGAGAGCCTGTGAAGTTATCTTGTCAACAAACACATTTTCAGTTTACACTCAGTGCTACTCACCAGCTGTCAAAGCTGTTGAAACATTAGCAATGATGTCTCTTTGCACCTTGCAGCCACCTGTTGATCAGAAGAAAAGTTTGAAACCTTTGGCAGCAATGTGTATTGTTTCACCTGCATGCAAACAAAGCAGATATCACTCATTAAATCATGAGAAAAAGTCATTTTTAAAGCTTAACGCAGCTACCTACCAACTTTAACTTAAGTAAAGGCCTAGTTAACCAGACTAAATGTTATGGCGTTTTTCCACTGCAGGGCCTGGCTCGGCTTAGTACGGTATGGCTAGGCCTCGTTAGGCC